TAATAGAAAGAGAAGATATAGTCTCATGGCGACGAAGATATCTTCGTTCTATTAGAGAGGTTCGTTCTGCCCACAAAAAGATTTATTATCTGGACGAAACGTGGGTAAATGCTGGTCACACAGTATCTAAGATCTGGCAAGATACTATTATAACGAGTTATCGTCAAGCATTTGTGAATGGTTTATTAACAGGGTTAAGAGGACCAACGGATAAAGGGCAACGACTGATTGTCGCCCATATAGGTAGTGAGAGTGGATTTTTAGGAGATAGTGCACTAATTTTTTTATCTAAAAAAACGGGGGATTACCATGAAGACATGGACGCCCAACGTTTTGAAAAATGGTTTCAATCCCGTCCTTCACGAGTCGAATTTAATTCCGTAATAGGAAGGCAACTTACTTACCAACAAAGAGGACATCCTTTTACGATGGGTAGAGCACTTTCGAGATTTGCTGGAAGGGGAACCTACTAACAATATAGAGCTGGAATACCGAAATGAGGAACTCGTGGAACCTCCCTCGATAGATGAAGTAAAAACATCTATACAAAAACTAAGGAACCATAGGTCCCCAGGTAGCGATGGTATCCCAGCAGAGTTATTTAAGCACGGTTGAGAGCAGCTCACCAAGGTAATGCGAGAAATTGTTTGTAGAATTTGGTCTGAGGAGCAAATGCCAGAAGAATGGAGCTTAGGCTTAATTTGCCCGTTACACAAAAAGGGAAACCAACTGGAATGCAATAATTACCGCGAAATAACTCTTCTAAATACAGCATACAAGATATTATCAAATATTTTGCACGAGAGATTAAAGCCTTATACTAAAATGTTTCTAGGGGAATATCAGGCAGGATTCAGGCCTGGACGTTCAACCATTAACCAGATCTTTACACTACGACAGATCCTCGAAAAAGCACAAGAGTTTAACATAGATATGTATCATATTTTTGTCGATTTTAAAGCGGCATATGACAGTGTCTTAAGACCAAGTCTTTACAACGCTATGAATGAGTTAGGAATTCCAAAAAAACTCATACGTTTGATAAAAGTGACAATGGCGAAGATGCTATCAGCAGTAAAAATTCAAAACGACTCGTCAACCCCATTTCAAATACATAGGGGGTTAAGGCAGGGAGATGCGCTGGCGTGTCAGCTTTTTAATGTCGCCTTAGAAAAAGTTGTACGAGACGCTAATTTAGATAGCAGGGGAACAATATTTAATAGATCAGTCCAAATTCTAGCATATGCAGACGACGTGGACATTATAACAAGAACTAGGGCGAGAACTGCGGAAATCCTAACCGAGCTAGTAGCAGCAGCAGAACGAATGGGGTTACATATAAATCAAAATAAAACCAAATTCATGGCGACTTACACAAACACAAGAGCTGGAAATGTTGACACAAATTTAATCATTAATGACCAAAACTTCGAAGCAGCCAACGAGTTCATATATCTAGGGACATCGGTTAACCCCAATAATAATACATCTGAGGAAATAAAAAGGCGAATAATAATTGCAAACAGGTGTTATTATGGTCTATCAAAGTACTTAGCTCAAAAAACTCGTATAAGGCTGTATAGAACACTGATAGTCCCCGTTCTCACATACGGATCAGAGGCATGGACGCTAACGAAAACAGATGAATCCGCTCTATCCATTTTTGAAAGAAAGGTGCTACGCAAGATATTTGGAGCGGTCTGTGAGAACGGAATATGGAGGCGTAGATATAACTTCGAACTGCAGAATATCTACAAGCATACGTTTGGTGGTAAAGATATTACCACTATAATTAAGCGAAACCGCCTGCAGTGGGCAGGACATGTAGCCCGGGCCCCTGAATCGAACATGATAAAAAAGATTCTAACAGCGCAACCTGTGGGAATGAGACGACGGGGTAGACCAAAGCTGAGGTGGATGGATGGGGTAACACAAGATGCGGAGAAGATCGGATTCGGCAACTGTAAAATTCAAGCAAGGGACAGAACAGAATGGCGTAGAAAGCTTGAGAAGGTCGAGGCCCTCTAAGGGCTGTAGCACCAAGATGATGATAATAGTGATGGATAACGCTTCTTACCATAGTCGATTAATAGAAAATCTGCCAACTATGGCCACCAGAAAAGCAAATATGCAGAGTTGGTTAAGACAAACAGGAATTCCATTTTCTGAGGACATGGTTAAGGCTGAGCTTATAAATGTAATTAGACAGCATCGTGACAGATATCGCCAGAATGTTGTAGATACAATGGCACTTGCTCAAGGTATTACTATTTTGAGACTTCCCCCTTACCATTGCGAGTTGAACCCGATAGAAATAATCTGGGCTCAAATAAAGGGTTACGTAGCTCGTGAAAACGTGTTATATAAAATTGCTGATGTCCAACGTTTGTTGGAACTCGCAATGGAACGGATACGCAAAGAAGATTTGGCTAATGTTGTAGCTCATGTAATCAAGGAAGAAGACAAAATGTGGATATTGGACGGGATGGTAGACAATGTTTCCGACAAAATAATAATAAACTTTATTAACTAATTATTTCTTTGCTTTGTAGTTATCCTTTTATATAAATGGAATATAATAATTATTTTGTAAAGTTTTCGGTTTTTTGAAGTATTGTATTAGGCACCCTATAATAACAATAAAATTTTACTTTATTTTGTATGACAACTATAAGATAAAGTTAAAGCGACGTACAAAGACCGCATTGACATTTAATGTTGATAACTTTATTGCTAGTCGACCAAGAAAGCGAAGATACCTTTTACAACATCTTTTCTTTATGTATAACATTTTACTGCTCTGTTGTGTCAATCGGCGCTGCTTAACAAGTTATCGATTCATTTTATTGAAATAGGACCTACGGAATATAATATGTATTCATACAGTGAATTTATTATTTATTTATATTTATTTTTATTTTAATGATTTTTGATTATTTTTGTGACGATTAATGTAGGTTTACCAACTAAACAAAGTTATGCATTTGCGAGAACATATTATTGTTATTAGAAAAATAAAGTTCCATGCACATATGTCATTGAAAAATGATTTATGTTATCTAAATTATTGTTATGGAGAAAGAAATATGTGCTACAGCCGCGATATCTGTCATCATATATTACATTTTTGTTGATGGTTAAACATTAAATGATCTTGTATTATTTAATATCTTAGTGAGAATTACATTTAGGCAAATGCACAATCCTCAAAAGTGTTATTTAAAGTTTTTGCAAAGTTTTGCACAAAAAATTTTGCAATCTCAGTGTTTAACTTATTGCCTAAATGTAATTCTCACTAAGATATTAAATAATACAAGATCATTTAATGTTTAACCATCAACAAAAATGTAGTATAAATTGTTATGATTTGTTGTTGTTGTATGAGCAATGAGTAAATTTGAATGGTATATGTAAGTATAGAGTTTTTATCGCGGTTCTCAAAGAATTAGTTTGTAAGTACTTTTTTAAATTATCTTTATTATAAATATTATGAAACAAACCCATCTATCTAATATAAGCAATATCAATTTAAAACAATCTATCTAAAATTTGAAATTCTTACAATTATTACATTATTAACAAAATTTGGTACCTTCTTTCACTGAACGCCTAAAGTTTTTCCAAAATTAAAGTTATTATCACCACTCGATATCTTCTTACTAAGCCTTGGTTATCCAACTATTTTAATATGTTCCTTATTAATTATCTCCACTCACCATATAAATATATTTCACTAGTTAATATTATATAAAATATTATATGCTTATTAGACCACGTGTTCTGTTGCTTTGCTAATTTTTACTAAGTCTCTAAATGTTGTTAGTTATATAATTGTTTACACAATATCACCATATGATGTCCATTTATTTGAGTTTTTGTACTATCTTTTTAATACCATTGACAACTACATATCTTTTTAAAGGTAACTATTTAACATCTTCTTCATGAATGTGTGGTACTCATAATGTAAAATTTTTAGATGAACTGATGATGCTATCAGAATTCGATAGCGAAACGTCTTCAAAATAGATGAAGTAGTATCAACTTTGTCTTTTATTTCTCCACCTAGTAGACCGATATTTGAACCCACCAAGAAAATAGAAAACATAAATACAATGTAGATAAGTATAAATAAAATGTCTATATTCTCTGATGGGCATGGCATGAGTGAGATGATATATTCTCGGACTCACAACAGTGGCCCAAAAATTAACAAAAAAAAATGTGTTGGCTGATTATTTAGTAGAATAAAGGCAAAAAAGAAGAAGTAATCATTAATTGCAATTAATATCAAACGAAACAAATATTAAATTATTATTGTTTTATGTAAGGTACAAAATTGCAGAATCCATAAAATAATATAATAAAAATGTACATTTTAAAGATTTATCTCTTTGTATTTTTGAAACATATAACATTATACATTATCACATAATAATAAACAATCAGAATGCCCACTCTCAGACGCCGCCTTTGAAGTTTTTCAGAACGCGCGCCATGTTTTAGAAGGAAACACATAAGACAGACATATGATTTGTGAGGTTATGTAATTGTTTATATTTATGTTTAATTATATTATTATTTATGTTATTATATTTAACAATGTTAATATAATTGTATAGTATGTTTATGATTGCCGTAAGTCAATTAAACCGGGTTTTTCTATGCACACCACATAAACAACACTGGTTCCCTCTAAAACATGGTGGAACGTCTGCGCGAAGGAGATGCGCGTACTTAATTTTCCATGAAGGGGGGCATTCTGATTGTTTGTTTTTCTGTGACATTATAAGAACATGGCAACACTACCAACGGAATATTTTGTTCTATGAAATTGAATTGACAGCTATTTTGAGGCTATCGAGGCTATCTTCACTGTGACCAAATGTCAAAAACGTCCAATAAGGTCAAATAACTAAAAATAATGAAATCATAAAATGTTATTTTTAGTATTTTTATCACATTTTACTAAAATGATTACACCTTAGCAAAGTGAAAATATGACTACAAGAAATCCAACAACTCTAATGACAATTCCAAATGAAGAGGCATTCGATTTTCTATTCAAAATTGTAATTGTTGGTGAATGTGGTACTGGAAAAACTTGTGTTGTTCAAAGATTTAAGAATGGAACTTTTATTGAGAAACATGGAAATACTATAGGAGTGGATTTTTCTATGAAAACGGTAGTAGTTGATAATAAAAAAGTGAAGGTAAAATGTATAATAAGTATGAAAATGACACACCTTAAAATTTGTCTACTTACAGTTACAAATTTGGGATACAGCAGGTCAAGAGAGGTTTAGAACTATAACCCAAAGTTATTATCGTTCTGCAAATGGTGTCATAATTGTTTATGATATAACCAAAAGATCTTCGTTTTTATCTGTAGGAAAATGGGTTGAGGAAGTAAAAAGATATTCTGGCAACTCTGTCTTACTTGCTGTAGTTGGAAATAAAGCAGATTTAGAAACTTTACGGGAGGTCGAGTTTGAAGAAGCAGAGGCCCTTTGTCAGTATGTGCCAGATGTACTGTTTGTGCTAGAAGCAAGTGCCAAGTCTAATTCTAATATAGAAGAAGCTTTCATGTATCTTGCCACAGAATTAAAGGTCAGTATCATGACATATCAATAGAAAACTATGGCTGATATTTATTGATTAATTATTGAAATGAAACCGTAACAGACATCATGAATGAATTGAAATTAAATAAAACTTTAAAATGCATTATAATTTTTTTTATTTAAAGACAAAGTTGCATCCACCTAATGGTTATTAGAAACGGATCTGTACAATCATACAAGAATAGGTATATAACATGGTTACAAAAAATATTGTTTTTCTACAAAATAGCACTGAAAAAGAAGTCAGCAATTTTATACAAAAAAACTTTAAATCTTATGGAACACTTTGATAGCTTTTAAATAAAATATTAAGTTTTTTGAATAACTATTTTGACCTAACACAACTGATAAATTTCAATCTATATTATATAAAGAGATTCTTGATGTTTGAATTTGTCACATTCAAAGATATGTTTTACTGTTAAGGTTGAATTGCAGTGCTCGCATATTGGTGGATTACATTTTGAAAACAGATAGGAGTGTGTGAGTCTAGTATGGCCTAATTGTAATCGGTTAACTTCACTCTGTTCATGGGAATTTTTGTAAAAAGGTTTAGTTTCTTTAACTGTGTCTTTAATTTGTCATAGTTTAGACGTTGATATTTGCCATTTGTTATGCCAGACTTCTAAGATTTTTACCTTAATAGAAAGCATTAAGTCTTTTGGACCGCACTTTAATATTATTTCTGAGTCTGCACTAGACACTGCACTATACGCACTTAATTCTGCTTCTTCATTTCCAGGGATACCCACATGAGAAAGAATCCATATGAAGTCAACTGTTCTTCCTTTTTCTTGACATGTGTGATGTTCTGATTGGATTATTTTTTCAATTTAAGAATCACCACTTTGATGATATTGGTATCATTAATAAACTTAATTGCTTGATAAACAGCATATAATTCAGTTGTGTATATGCTACAGTGGGGAGATAGCTGAAATAGATATTTACTAGAATTGATCACAAAAGTGGCACCAACTCCATTGCTAGATTTTGAAGCATCTGTAAATATTTTGGAGAAATTTTCATAAGTTTGAAGTAGATTTGACAAAATAGTTTTTATTACTGAGGGACGTATTTCCAACTTATTTGCTCAAATATATGTTACACTGTGGAATATTGATTGACCAAGGGATATGAGGATCAGTGATGTTTGGATCGAATATGTCAGGAATATCAAAGTTTAATTTTGTGCAATATGTTCTAATTCTTTCATATTATGGTTTTCTTAGTTTATCATTATAATTAAAAAGTTTGTTATATTTATCTGTGAAGGTGTTAGTGTAAATAGGTTTTTCTATATTACAGTATACCGAGGATGAATGTGTTAATGTCAGTTGCACTCGCCTTTGGTAAAGGGATGTCTCACCAAGCTCAGCGTATATGCTCTCAGTAGGTGTACTTCTAAATGCTCGTAGTGCAATTGTTAGACCATTTACTGATAATATTGTATTTTGGTCGGAACCCCATTTCCTGTTTGATAATGTTTTTAAAATATTTATTCTCTTATGGCAGGTTAATTGTAATTGCTTTATATGTTCTCGCCATGTCTGTTTTGTCATTTTGTCATACTATCTATATTTTTTCCTTTTGTAAATACCACTAAATCGTCAGCATAAATTCATGCTTTTAAAGGTTTTTCTATGTTTTTCAAAATATCAATAATCACTATTAGGAAGAGTGTTGGGCTAAGAACAGACACTTGTGGTACTCCATTTGTTAAGCAGTGAGTTTTCAAGCACAAATTGGAAACTTATCTGAAGAGTCTGATTCATTAAAAAATTGTTGATGAACGATAAACAGTATCCCCGGATATTCCTCTCATACAACATTTTTAGAATCCTGTTTTCCTGGCAGTATTAAAGGCATTCTTTAAGTCAAAAAATATCGCTGTACATTTTCTATTAGTTGCAAACGATTCCATAATATTGCTTTCGAGTTCCAGAATGTTATCAGCCGTTGATCAATTCTGCCTAAATCCATTTTGTTCAGTAATCAGTAATCGATTTTGTTCCAATGTCCACATTAATCTACTGTTAACGATTTTTTTTAAAGTTTGCACATGGAACAAGTAATTGAGATTGGCCTGTATGATTCTACACTATATCATGATTTTTCTTTGTCTTTTAAAAGAGGTAGGACGTAGGAATTAGTCCATATTGAAGGAAAATGCTGTTGTGTCCATATAAAATTAAATATGTAGACTAAATAATATTTGGTTGAGTCCGGAAGATGTTTTAGAAATATGGTTGGGATATCATCTGATCCAGGACAAGAGTCTTTAAGGCTTAAAAGTGCTGAATTAAGTTCTTGAAATGTAATGCGACTAATAATTGCTACATTAGGATTTTCATTATTAGGAAGAGTATAGGTAGGTATCAGATGATGAATTTGAAGAATTTACACATGGATTTTTGTCATTTGAGAGGCTTTCGTAAAAATCCGCTAGAATGTTTGCAATATCTTCATATTTGGATACTATTTTATTTTGTACTTTCAAGTGTTTAATAAAAGTACTCTGCGGAGTACCACAAATTTTTCTAATTTTTTGCCAGACTTCCTTGGAGCTAGTTGTGTTATTTATTTACAAACTTCTGCCATGAATTCCTTTTAGCTGTGTTATAGTAAGCTGCGCTTTTACCTTTAATTTTTAAAAATTAATTCTGTTTTCCGGTGTCTTGTGCTTCTTATAATTATTAAAAGCAGATTTACTATTTTTTATGACCTCTTCGCATTCTTTAGACCACCACGGTACTGGTGCATGTCCCTGTATTTGTTTCTTTTTACCAATATACAATATAGCACCTTCAAAAATTATGTCATTGAGTGATTTAATGCTCTCGTCAATATCATTGGGTATTTGGGCCCTAGATATGTGACTATCAATATATTGAGAAAATGAATCCCAATCTGCATTGTTAGTTTTCCACTTTGGACTAAATTCCTTGTTTCTGCACATGGTTAAGGTTCGTAATAACTATGGGAAAGTGATCACTTCCATATGTAAAAGGCAATACTTCCCAGTCTAAACCTATGGTATAAGTTAGGATCACATAAAGAAAGATCTAGAACTGATGATTCACCCGTCGATATATTAAATCTAGTAGGGTTACCATCATTTAAAAAGTTAGATGAAAATCTGTAATAATGTTCTCTAATATTTGGCCTCTTAAATTTGTATTCTATGAGCTCCAAATTGTATTATGGCTATTTAGTTCACCTAAAATTAAGCATGGTGTGAGTATCTGTTCAAGAAGTTTGCGAAGGTCTTCATAACTAACTTGTATGTTAGAAGGCAAGTAAATATTACAGATGTAGAATTTTCTATGTGGTTCTGAAATCTTTACCGCAATGGTTTCGAGATCTGTTATGAGTGAAAAGGCTTCATGCTCTATTGAATTTTTTATCAAGATTGCCACTCCTCCACTAGCGCAATTGGTGTTCGTTCTATCTTTTCGAAAACAGTTGAATTGTTTTGGTGAGTATATATTGGAAAGAGTAAGGTTAGTTTCTTGTAGGCATATTATTTATGGGGAGTATTCTGATTGAATGATTTGTAACATAGGTAGGCGATGGAATAGTCCATCAATATTCCACTTTAGTATAAAGTTGAAAATTATGCATCGAGGGAGGATAATTCACTGTCTGTAATATTGTTACCTAGGTAGTGTTGCAATTTATTTTTAAGACGGGTAAAACGATGTTTCGTAGTTTTGATGAGTGATCATAGTTTAATAACAGTGATGTGGATTATTCAAGTTTTGTGCTGTGCGTTTTTTTTTTTGTTTCTGGGTTTTTATTTTATTAGATATGGATGGGGGAGTAAATAATTAGGTATTTGTATTTAGATTTTCGATGGGGGGAGATAATGTTTCGTCAATGCTTCTTTTCACAGATGAACAGGCTGAATCTTTCTTGGTTTCCACTGAAGCTTGTGGGTCCTTTTCTTCTGATGGTTTTACAGTTGAAGTTTTAGTGAACATGTTCTCATTGGTAATTGTAGTTATTTGCATTTCACCAGGCTGTTGTAAAATTTCTGGAATAGAAGATGGTTTCGGAGTAGGTGTAATATTTGGATCACCTACGCCAACTTGATGTAATTGGCTTTCAATATCGATAGAAGATTGCGAATTTGGGGTAGAAGTAGGATTCGGTATAGTTGAATTTTGGGCCTGAGTGGTAGATGGAATACGGTTGATATTTGGATAAGTTTGAAATATGATCTAATTGCTTACAAGTATAACAAGTCAAATTGTCTTGAGATATGAAAATTCTGTAAGAGGTGTTTTCATAACTTATTTCAATCGAATTTGTAATAGTGATATTATTTGGACTGACAAATACCTATCTTCTAAAGCTTAATATATGGTTATACTTTGGTAGTGTAGCACCGATTTTTAAAAACGTTATAGGGGAAACGATGTTTAAGCCCATTTCTTTTAATTCTCGGATAAGTACATCATGAGGAATTGTTGGACTGACGTTAGATTCACTGGTTTGTGAATTTTGGGTAGACCACATATTTGAGATGTTCTGTAAAACTTTTCACGAGAAATTAGGGATTGTTTATGTGAACTGGAAGAGAGGTTTTATAGGTAATGGCTTTTGTTGTTTTCTCCAGATAGGTTATTGGATTATTAGGAATTGGTCTGTAGTCTGGAGTATTAATGAGATTTGAGAGTTTATTAATATAAGAAGTATTTAGAATAACGGTGGCATTACCTTTACCGGCGGGAAGACTAGACTAGATTTGGATTTGACGGAACTTTTTTAGGGCTTTTTTCTTGGATTATCTCAATTGGAATGTGACTTGGGGTAACAGAGTAATTGAAATCTTTTGCTAAAGCTTGGGTGGCAATGGTCGAAATAGGAGTATCAGAAAAGGTATGAACCATTGTAGTGTGTTTCAACGTTTTTGTTTTTAGAATTTGTTTGGCAATTAGATGCGCCAATTTACACTTCTGAGTTTCAGCTTAAATTCGAAAG